GGCACCCTGCCAGGGGTACTCACGGCGGGGCGATGCCCATGGCGTGCAGGTTGGCCAAGCCCACCATGTTGGCGTTGCCGATGAGCCCCGGCTTGAGGGCCAGCTGGGCCTGGATCCGGGCCTGCAGCTCCGCGGCCTTGCGGGCCTTCTCGATGGCATCGTTCATGAAGGTGGCCGCCTGCGAGGGCTGGATGGTGTTGCCGATGGGCAGGCGCTCCGACTGCGACGACGAGGAGATTTTGGGCTGTTGGCAGAGAAAGGGAGTTCTGCTCTGAATTTCCAGCACACCCAGGCCAGCAAGTTGCAGATGGAACAGGGACCACGTGGGCTTTGTTGTCCCTTGGCCCCAGGAGGTACCTGTGGTGTCGGAGGGCTGATGAAACTCAGCTGCTTTTTCCTCTCCTCGATCTGCCGGGTGGCTGCCTCCATCATCTGCTTGATCTGGGGAGGAAAACACAAACAGTGAGTGTTTCTTTGCTGCTGACAAAGGATGTGAGTTAGGATAAACACTAAACCACGCTGGCACAGGCAGAGGGCAGGTGCCACTGCCCAGCTGGACTGACCTGCAGCTTGGTCAGCATCCCCGGGCTCTCTGACGGCGGGCCCGGGATGACCTCGGGCTCATCCTCCACCTCCTCGAACCGCGGTATCCGCCGCTTCTTGACACCAGAGGACTCCTTGGACACCTCAGAGTCGTCACCAAACACATCCTAATGCAAAGACAGGGGAGAAAAGCGTGGTTAGAGCGGAGTGTCCTCCTCAGGGGCCGGGGTTTGAGGTGAGAAACCAGCACGAGGCTCAGCTCCGGCTCCGAGGGGCAGAACTCCAGGGTGGCACTGCAGGCTGAGCCCACGCTGAGCCCCTGCCCTGGGCCCCCAGCAGAGAAACACCAGTGACATCCATGCAAGAGCAGGAGGGACAGGAGGCAGCGCAGGGCCCCGCCTGTGTGACAGCCACCACCTTCCCTTGCTCAGAGGTGGCTTTTGGCACCGGGCACATTTAAGGTCTCAGCGACACGGAAAGATGGAAAAAGCCTGCCCAGAGCTGACCTGGCTGGGATAAAAACATTTCCACGTCTTCCACCGACTCGAGAGGGTTTGGTGAAGGGATCTGAGCTGTGCTGCCACGTCCTCCCCCACAGGAGGATGCGGCCCCGCACCCAGGGAGGGTCGGGACACCTGCAGCGTCCCCTCAGGCTCCGAGCCAGGTCACTCCAGCTCGGATCCCAGGCCAGAGCCGCTCCAGGAAAGCAGAGCTCAGCGAGCACACGGAGCAGTGACCCCATGGAGGGGCTCCCAAAACAAAAGGCACTGCACGTTTTCCACGGAGCCCTGGCCGGACCCAGCCCAGCTCCCGAGGCCGGGGATTCCACCGTCAGTGCCTGCTTTGTGTGTGCAAACCTGGACGTGTCCGTGCCCTGGGCCACTGCAGTGTGTGTGTCAGGGTGTTATTTGAAAAGAAAATATACACACCGGTCGTAAGCGTTAGTTGCAATCCCTTCTTCACTACAACGGTTCGTATCCTACAAGGACACTTCCTCAGCCACACAGGTACTTCTTGGAAAACCTACAAGTTCAAGAGAAAGGACTTGCCCATAGTATAAAGTGTGGAAAGCGTTCCGTTCAGTTCCTGACCTTCCCAAGCAACGACCTAGCCCGGGGCGGCCCCGGGAATGGATCCACTGCCCCACGCCACGGGATCCACTGGGCCAGGACAGATCCCTCTGCACGGCCTCTGCTGCTCTGGGAGTGCCACCACGGCCTGAGCACCTCAGGGACCAGCTCTGCTCCCGCAGGGTCAGGACAGAAGAGCTCCAAGGAATGTAATTCCAGAGATAGGGGCGAGGATTTGGCAGGGGGGACGCCCATCCCCACGCCAGGAGCCAAGAGAAGAAGGATCAGTCTGTGCTGTCACTGCCCAGCCCGGCCTCTGGCTCAGCTGGGAGCCAGAAACACCACCAGGGCTCGGGCCACACACCCCCACTGGGGTGGGGTCCCTGGCTGCACCCCCAGCCCAGCCCTGCTCCTGCTGCCAGTGACAGATCCCTCTGCCAGCATCAAATCCCCTCTGCCAGCACCAGATCCATCTGTCAGCAGCAAATCCCTCTGCCAGATCCCCTCTGCCAGTACCAGATCCATCTGTCGGCACCAGATCCCTCTGCCAGTGCCAGATCTCCTCTGTCAGATCCCCTCTGCCAGCACCAGATGCTGTTTGCCAGCACCTGCTCTCGTGCCACCCGAGGCTGTCCCTGCTCTCCTGTCACCACCAGGTGATGGCACTGCCAGCGTCCCCCTCTCTCCTGTCCCCCTGTGAGGGTCAGGGACCAGCCCAGCACCCCCTGCCGTGGCTGGGGGAAGAGCAGCGAGTTCCTAACAGAGCCCAGGGAGGGGGGGCAGCTTCTCCCAGTGCCCCCCAAGAGATGCAGATGCCGAGGGGGCCACTCTGCCCCAGCGGGGTCCAGAGGTGAGTGACAGTGTCAGGGAAACAGGGGCTGCCACAGCACAGGAACCCCGGGAAGAGTGGAGGGAGAATCCCCTCAAGTGGGAATGTCAGACTGGGCAGAGCGATGGGAAATGCAATTCCAGAGGCTGGCGGGAAGAGTCCTCAAGAGAAGAAAGGAAGCGAAAAGAAGTTTGGATGCACGAGCCTTCCACCATCCCTGACAAGGGGGAGCCACCAGAGCTGTGGAATCCCAGCTAGAATTAACCCTGAGCTGGGCTGTCAAAAGCCACCTAGTGCTGACTCTGGGTGGACAAAGAGAAGGAGAACCCACCAGGTCATCCAGCACAGGGCGGCACCTCAGAGCGACGGGAGCAGCTCTGCCGGGCTCCCGATGGAAACACAGCCTGAGGAGCACGGAGGACGAGGGAGAGGGATCCCTGTGGATTCCCTGCACTGCACCAGCCTAACAGAGACCCCCCCAGGGGAGCCAAAGCCAGGCTCCCAGCTGGGCTCCGGGGAAGAGAACAAAGGCTCACACACTTCAACAGGGAGTCGTTTCTCTTGAACGTTCCGAGCTGTACCTCTCTGGAAGAGGAGAGTGTGCCAGAGCAGGGAGCACCAGCGCTGCCTCCAGGCCACCCAACCGCAGGAGAAGCCAATCCACGGTCAGTAATCAATAACCAATAACCAATAATCAATAATCGATAATCACCTTCAGCTCCCGCTTGCGGTTCCGGTCGCTGTTGGATTTGGAGTGGCGGGAGCTCCGTCCCTCCTCCACTGCCTCGAAGAGCTTGTCCACAAAGCGCAGGGTGGAGTCGTCCAGGAAAGGCTTCAGGTGGTCTGGAAAGGAGGGAAACCCCATGAGGGCAGAACCCCCAGTCGGGGAGAGCGGGAGGGGGGAGAACCCACAGGAGGGGGGAGAACCCACAGGAGGGGGGAGAACCCACAGGAGGGGGAGAACCCACAGGAGGGGGGAGAACCCACGGGAGGGTGGAGAACCCACTGGGGGGGTGGAGAACCCACTGGGGGGTGGAGAACCCACTGGGGGGTGGAGAACCCACTGGGGGGGGTGGAGAACCCACTGGGGGGGGTGGAGAACCCACTGGGGGGGGTGGAGAACCCACTGGGAGGGGTGGAGAACCCACTGGGAGGGTGGAGAACCCACTGGGAGGGGTGGAGAACCCACTGGGAGGGGTGGAGAACCCACTGGGAGGGGTGGAGAACCCACTGGGAGGGGTGGAGAACCCACTGGGAGGGGTGGAGAACCCACTGGGAGGGGTGGAGAACCCACTGGGAGGGGTGGAGAACCCACTGGGAGGGGTGGAGAACCCACTGGGAAGGGTGGAGAACCCACTGGGGGGGTGGAGAACCCATAGGGGCTCCTCAGGGGATGGAGAACCCACGGGGGGGGTGTGGAGAACTGAGGGGTCCCTGCCCCCCGCAGCCCCCCCAGGACGCACCGGCCGCTTTCTTCTTGTCCATGCCCTTGCCCACGCAGTTGAGCGCGGCCGTCACCACGGTGGGCTCCGAGAAGCCCAGCACCCTCTTCACCGTCTTCTCCACCCATGGCTTCAGCTCGTCCAGCTCCCGCTTGGACAGGGCCATCCCGGGCCCTGCGGGGATCCCGACCTAAGGGGGGACGGGGAGGGTCAAACAGGGCCCCCCCCCGGGGGGATCCCTCGGGATCAGCCCCAGGAACAGCTCCCAGAGGTGACTTTTACTGCCTGGTTATCCCAGTTATCCCTCCTGGAACTTGGAATGGAGTCTCCAAGGAGTCAGTTATCCCTCCTGGAAATGGGAAGGGGATTCCCAAGGGGCCAGTTATCCCTCCTGGAACTGGGAATGGGGGTCAGTTATCCCTCTTGGAACTGGGAATGGGGTCAATTATCCCTCCTGGAACTGGGAATGGGGTCCCCAAGGGGTCAGTTCCAGCCCTCCTGGATTTCGCATTCCAGGACGTTCCCGGGTTCCCCCCGGAGCCCAAAACCTCCGAGCGCGTTCCTGATTCCCCAAAGCACTCGGGTAACTGGTGAATTAGCGCTGCAGCCTCCCCGTCCCGCCCGAGCCCCGGGGGCAGCCCCAGCTCCGGGGGTGTTCTCCCGGCAGGGCAGAGCCGCGGCCGCAGCCCCGAGGCCCAACAACCCCCCGATAAACGCGGCTCAGGCGCCGCCTTCGCCGCGGCCTCCCCGTGCCCCGCCGCCCTCAGCCGCTCCCGTCCCCGCCGGCAGCACACCCGCTGGCCCCGATTTCCTCCCGGCCCTCCCCCCTCACCGCTCCCCCCTCACCGCTCCCGGTGCCGGGCCCGGCCCGGCGGCCCTGACGGTGACGGCGCGTCGGGGCGGAAGCGGAAACGGCGGCGCGGCGCGTGCGCGGCGGGCGCGCGGGGGAAGCCGGGAAGGAGGAGGAGCGAAAAGTGGGGACTCCCCTCGGGCTCCGCCCAGCCCGGATCACGTGATCTACGCCCTCCGTGTGGGCGTGGCTTGGCCCCGCCGTGCTCCGCCCCCTCGCTGGCCCCGCCCCCTCCCCGCGCGCCGTCATTAAACCGAGTCAATTAATTTTATTGGGGGTTTTTATTGGGTTTCACGGGCTCAGCAGCCCAGCCACGGGTCCTGCCGCGCGGCCCGCGCCAGGAAGGCGATCTTGCGGGCCATCTCGGCGCAGTAGACCCGCCGGCACGCCTCGTACGCCCGGCGCCGCCGCTCCCGGGTCGGCTTCTCGTAGTACCGGGAGCGCCGCACGGCATCGGCGATCCCGTCCTGCGCCAGGATCCTGCGGGGCGGCACAGACACGGGGCTCGGGGGGTCACCCGGCATCGCCCCCCCGTCCCGCGCCAGGACCCTGCGGGGCAGGGCTGGGATGGGCGAGGAGGGGGAAAGAGGAACAGCCCCCTCTGCACCGCGAACACCGGGAACGGCTCGGTGTGCTCCGGGAACAGCTCGGTGTGCTCCGGGAGCGGCCGGGCCGGGGCGCCCCCGCTCCCCCAGGGACAGCCCAATCCCCCAGGGACAGCCCAATCCCCCAGGGACCCCCCCCAGGGACCCCCCCGGCTCCCTCCGGAGCCCGAGGAGGGGAAGGAATCGCCCCCCCGGGAGCTCCGTTGACGCCGGGACTGAGGGAGGTGGGAGCGATGGGATCGCCTCTTCCTTTCCCCCCCATTCCCCGGGCCCGTCCCCGTCCCCGGTTGTCCCCCCGTTACCTGTTGAGGACTCCGTACGCCGCCTCCACGTTGCCGTTCTGCACCATCACCGTGCGGGCCACGAACCGCGCGTGGTTCGCCATCCTGCGGCGGGACGGGGGTGGCACCGGGGCCGGGGGTGGCACCGGGACTGGGGAGGGACCGTCCCGCCCGAGGGTCCTGCCCGGGACAGCCCCCCGCCCCCGCCTGGCCTCGGTCAGGCCGCCCCCGGTACCCTCCCGGTGCCCCCCGAGGATCCCGGTGCGGGGTCCTGTCCCCGCTCAGGTCCCGATGTCTGTCCCGGTGCCCGTTCCCAGCCCTGTCCCCATTCCCAATCCTGTCCCGTTCCCAGCCCTGTTCCGGTCCCGGTGCCCGTTCCCAGCCCTGTCCCCGTTTCCAGCCCGTTCCCGGTCCCGTTCCCAGCCCTGACCCCGTTTCCAGCCCGTTCCCGGTCCCGTTCCCAGCCCTGTCCCGATCCCGTTCCCGTCCCGGTCCGAACTGACCCCGAGCTGTCCCTGCCCCGCCGAGGCCGCCGCGCCGGGACCGAAATTGCTGGAGGGGCGGAACTTCCCGCGGACGAAACTTCCGGGGGGGCCGGGCCGGGAGAGGGGGGGCAGCACCGGGAGGGGGGTCCGGGGACAGCTCGGAGGGCACGGCCGGGCCGGGGGACGCGGGGTCCCAGGGATCGCCACCCCTTCCCGCAAGGGGCACCGGGGGGGCACTCGGGGGTCCCGCGGGGAGGGGACGGATCGGACCCCCTTGGGGACAAAAAACCCCCCCCCCGGGGGGGCAGGAGGGCAGCCAGGGGACAGAACCGCCCCACACACACACCCAGGGGTCAGGACACACCCCCCACACACCCAGGGGACAGGACCCCCCCGGGGGACACGGCCACCCCCCCGGGGCACAGAGCACACGACACCGGGTGGCCCCGGCCGCTCCCGCGGCGTTTATTGCTTCCAGCAGGGCCGGCGGGGGGGGGCAGCCCCGCTCGGGGGGGCCACACCCCCCCAAGGCCCCCCAGGCACACTTTGGGGGCTGCGACCCCAGGCACACTCGGGGGTTAAATGTCCCCTGACCCCCACACCGCTCGGGGGTCACACTGTCCCCTGAGCCCCCCACCCCTCGGGGTCACCCACGCCCCCGCACCAGGGGAAGGCACAGCCAGGGGGTCCTGGCTCTGAGGGGGTGGTCGCTGTCCCCCCGCCCCCGGTCAGAGCCCCTGCCCGCGGGGCCTCCTGAGCGCCGGAGCAGAACGGTCCGAGAAAGGCAAAGCCCAGAACGCAGCCGAGACCCCCGAGCCGGGGGGCCTCACTCGTCCGGCGCCGGGGGGCTCCTGGGGGTCCCCTCGGGGCCGGCTCCGGGGTCTCTGGGCGCGGCGGCAGCGGGGGCGCCGGGGGCCGGCGGGGGCGGCGCCGGGCGGGGTCGCGGAGGGGGCGGCGGCGTCCAGAGAGGCTTTGGGGGCCACGTGGGGGAACCAGAGGCGCAGCATCACCTCCACCTGCAGCAGCGTGCCCAGGTACCGCGCCCTGCGGGGAGGGGAGAGACCCCCGGAGACCCCCCCGTCAGTGCCGGGGTGCTGGGGGACAGCCCCACTGCTGGGGACACCCCTCATCCTTGGGGACACCCCCATTCCCGGGGACACCCCCCATTTTGGGGTCACTCACCCCATGTGGGGGTTCTGCAGGACACCGATGATTCGCTGCAGCCGGTCCATGGCCACGCTCTGCTGGAAACTGCTCAGCCCTGGGGGCCCCAAAAACCCCTGAGTCCTCAGAGAGGGCATGGGGGGACAGGGGTGCAGGGGAGGGGCAGGGGTGTGGGTTTGGGGGGCGTGGGGTGTGGGGAGCGGCTTTAGGAGGACCCACCTTTGTCGTAGCGGCCCCTCCGCAGCCCCTCGAGCAGCTCGGCCAGCGGGCGGATGAAGCCCCGGAGCTCCCGGCACTGCGAGCGGGGGATGAGGAGGAGGAGGAGGAAGAGGAGGGTGACTGGAGTGGCCCCTTATTCCCCCCTCACCCCTCCAAACCCTCTTCATCCCGCCCTGAGACCCCCAGTCTGGGGGGAAACAGAGGCAGCCCCAGATGCCTTTTTAGGACACCAACCCTCATGCCCCCCCAGCTTTGTGGGTGCCCCCTGGTTTTGCTGCCAAACACTCACTTTTTGGGCAAACAGGCGATCGCCGTCGCTGGGGGGGCCGTCTCCCCCCTCCCCCTTCCGCGGCCGCTTCCCCCCCTCGTGGGGCGACGGTGGCGACTCGGGGGGGGGTCGGTCGGGCCCCCCCGGCCTCTTTCGGCTGCGCTCGGGTCTGTGGGGGCCCCGGGGGGACCCCTCGGCCTCGCTGTCGGGGGAGCCGCAGGAGCAGGCGCGGGCGGGGGGCTCCATGGTGGGGGGCGCAGGGGGGGCCCCCCCGAGGGAGCCTCGCCCCGGGTTCAGCTCAGTCGGGGCCGCCCGGCCGAGCCCGCCTGGGGGAGGGAGGAGAACAGAGCGGAAAAAAGGGGGACATTGGATAAAAGTGGAAAACAGAGGAACTGCCACGTTCTCACCGGGCCCCCTCCCTGCGGGGTCGCGCCGGGTCCCACCTGCTCCGGCTGCGGCGGGGCCGCTGTCCCCGGGCCGGTGCCGCTGTCCCGGTATCACCGTCCCCGTTCCTGGCTGCTGTCACTGTCCCGGTGCCGGTGTCGCTGTCCCCGTGTGGCTGTCCCCGCTCACCGTGCCGGTGTCACTGTCTCGGTGCCGGTGTCGCTGTCCCTGGCCCCGCGCTGGTGCCGGTGGCCCCGTTCCCGTGCCGATCTCCCTGCCGCGGTGTCGTTGTCCCGGTGCCGGTGTCGCTGTCCCGGTGCCGGTGTCCCGGTGTCCCTGCCCCGGTGCCGGTGTCCCGGTGTCTGTGTCTCCGTTCCGTTGCCGGTGTCTCTGTCCCTGTGTGGCGGTCCTCCGTGTACCTGGTTCCCGTGCCGGTGTCGCTGTCCCGGTGTCCCGGTGCCGTGTCCTGCTGTCCCGTGCCGTCGTCCGTGTCCGTGTCCCGGTGCCGGTGCCCGTGTCCCGGTGCCGGTGTCCGTGTCCGTGTCCCGGTGCCGGTGTCCGTGTCCGTGTCCCGGTGCCGGTGCCCGTGTCCCGGTGCCCGTGTCCCGGTGTCCGTGTCCGTGTCCCGGTGCCGGTGTCCGTGTCCCGGTGTCCGTGTCCGTGTCCCGGTGTCTGTGCCGGTCCCGCTCCGTTCCCGCCCCTCCCGCGGCGGCCCCACGCGGACACGTGCGCGCCCGCACGTGCCTGGGCCCGGCCCCGCCCCTGCCGCGTCCCCATTGGCCGCCGCGCCCCGGCAGGGGGCGTGTTCTCCCAGCGCCCGCCCCGCCTCCTCGCTGCGATTGGTCCGCGCCGGCGCCCGGCGCTGATTGGCAGGAGGGCGGGACCGCGGCCACGCCCCCCCGCGCGCCGATTGGTGGTCCCGCGCAGAGGGGGCTTTGGCCACGCCTCCAGTGGGCGGTGTTTTCGGCGGCGCGTGGCGCTCAATGGGCGTGGCTGCCCCGCCCCCCCGCCGTTACATAACCGGGGCGGGACGGCGCGTGCGGCACCACGTGGGGGCGGGGGCCCGAGTGACGTCACCGCCCGCTCGTGGGAACGGGGCGTGGCTTCCCGAGAAAGGGGCGGGGGCTTGGACGGGGGCGGAGCTCCCCTGGGAGCGCGTGCAGGAGTTGCCCCCCAGGCCCCCCCTCCGAGCGCCCCCAAACCAGGGATCCCCCTCCCCCCCCATCCCCACACCCCCAAAACCTCCCGAGGCCCAGAGCCCCAGCCCAGCTTCCCCACGAGGCCCAGAGTCCTCCCCCAGCCCCCCAAACCCCCAGCCCACGAACCTCCACGAGGCCCAGGCCCCCAGGAGACCCCTCCCCAAAGCCACAGACTCCCCCCAGAGCCCCCAGCATCACAAATCCCCCAGCATCACAAATCCCCCACCCCACAAGCCCGGAGTTCGCAGCCCCACGGGCCCCCCAAGCCCCCACGGCCTCATCTCCCCCCTGCTCACGCCCCGGGCATGGTCACTCGAGCCCTCCCCGTCCCCCCGGGGGGGCCCGTCCCCCCGGGTGGGTATTTAGGGCCGGGCTGGCAGCACCCGGCCCCCCGTGCCCCCCGCCATGCTGAGGGTGCTGCTGCTGCTGGGGGCCCTGGCCCCCTCCCTGCCCGCAGGTGAGTCCCCCGGGGCCCTGGGGTGCAGCCTCAGCCCCCCGGGGTGTCCCCACACCGGGCTGGGGGGGCTCAGCTGAACCCCCACCCCAACACCTCCATCCCCCCTTGCAGGTCCCCACTGGGAATATGAGGGTGAGTTGGGCCCCACCCCAGTGACCCCCATTTATCCCCACCCCCAAACCCACCCCCAGGTTCCCCTGGACCCGAGGGGCTCCCCTGGGTCCTCCCAGAAGGGGGAAGGAGGTGGGTGGGTGACACCCCACACACGCAGGTCCCCCTAGATGGGAAGGATGAGGGGGGGTGACGGGGGGGTGACAGCCCCCCCTGACACCTGGGGGCCCCAAGGCAGGAGGGGAGCGGATGGTGCAGCCCCCCATGCCCCTCCTGGCCACTTGGATCCCCCCCAAATGGGCAGGAGGTGGGTGGGTGACCCCCAGCACCCCTGCCCGCACGCCTGGGTGCCCCAAATCGGGTGGGGGGTGGGTGGGTGCAGCGCCCCAACATCCCCCCTCTGCACCCCCCGGGTCCCCCTCGCTCCAATGGGCCCTTTGTGCTCCTTTCCATGAGGCTCCGGTGCCAAATCCAATTAGGATCTGGCCCCGGCCAAATCCCGCTAAGCCCCGTCCTGGGGGACCCATGGGTGCCCCCCCGGCCCCGCTTTGTCCCCGCTCCCCCGGCCGGAACAAATGCCCCCAGCAGATTAACGAGGCCCCGGGCACTGCCACCCGCTCCGTGTCCCCGCCCGGGGGCACCGGGGGCGCTTGGGGTCACGGGCCCGGCTGGCTGGGGCTGGGGCTGGGGCTGGGCTGGGGCTGGGGGGCCCACGGGCGCTCTGGGTGCCCCCCAGGCCCCCACGGGCAGCAGCACTGGCCCGAGGGGCACCCGGCGTGCGGGGGCCGGGCTCAGTCGCCCATCGACATCACCACGGGCCGGGCACGGCCGGAGCCGGCGCTGCCGCCGCTGCAGCCCCAGGGCTACGAGAGCCCCGAGACCCCCCGGTTCACCCTGGCCAACAACGGCCACACCGGTGAGTGCTGGGGGTGGGGGGACCATGGGGGGCCCGGTGTCCCAACCCCACTGACCCCCCCCATCCCTCAGCCGTGCTGGCCCTGCCGCCCTCCCTGCGGCTCGGGGGGCTCCCCGGGGGCTTCGCTGCCGCCCAGCTCCACTTCCACTGGGGCCGGCCCGGCCACGCCGCGGGCGCTGAGCACCTGCTGGACGGGCACCGGGCACCGGCAGAGGTACCGGGGCCAGGGGGACCGAGGGGAGAGGGCAAGGGGTGGGAAATGGCTCAGGAAACAGGGCTGGGGGTGGGAAACGGCACGGGAATGGGGTGGGAAATGGGTCTGGGGGCGGGAGAAGGAGGATGGAAAGAGGGGTGGGTGAGGGAAGCGCACTGGGAGTTGTGTGGGAAATGGGCTTGGGGGTGGGAAGTGGTTGTGGGAAGGGGTCTCAGTGGGGGGAGCAGCACAGGATGGGTGCGGTGCAGGGGTCTGCACACAGGAATGTGGGGCAGGGGATGGGAGCGGGGTCCTGGCACGGGAACGGGCAAGGAAATGGATCCAGGGATGGGAAATGAGTGCAGGGAGGGGATGGGGTGCAGGAAGGAGAAATGGGTGGGAAATGGGAGGTAAATGGGAACCGCTCTGGGCACAGGCAGCAGGGCCGGGAGCTGTGGGAGGTGCAGCAGTGTGGGATCGGGGGTGTTGGGATTGGGGCTGGGGGGCCCAGTGGGGCTGTGGGGATCGGGACTGGGGCAGGGAGGTGTTGGGATCGGGGCTGGGGCAGGGAGGTGTTGGGATCGGGGCTGGGGCAGGGGAGGTGTTGGGATCAGGGCTGGAGGCCCAGTAGAGTGTTGGGATCAGGGCTGGAGGCCCAGCGGGAGTGTTGGGATCGGGGCTGGGGCAGGGAGGTGTTGGGATCGGGGCTGGGGCAGGGGAGGTGTTGGGATCGGGGCTGGGGCAGGGGAGGTGTTGGGATCGGGGCTGGGGCAGGGGAGGTGTTGGGATCGGAGCAGAGGAGGTGTTGGGATCAGGGCTGGAGGCCCAGTAGGGGTGTTGGGATCAGGGCTGGAGGCCCAGTAGGGGTGTTGGGATCAGGGCTGGAGGCCCAGCGGGGGCGTTGGGATCGGGGCTGGGGCAGGGCAGGTGTTGGGATCGGGGCTGGGGCCCAGCGGGGCTCTGGGGGTCCCGCAGATGCACGTGGTGCACTTCGACGCGGAGCGTTTCTCCGACGCGGGCGAGGCTCAGCACCACGCGGGCGGCCTGGCCGTGCTGGGCGTCCTGCTGGAGGTACGGACCCCAAACCCAACCCCCCCTGTGCCCCCAGACCCGCACTGACCCCTGCCCCTCGCTCCCCCAGGTGGGCGCAGACCCCCACCCCGCTTACGACAACATCCTGAGGCACCTCGGGAGCATCCGCTATGCAGGTGAGGTGCAGGGAGGGGGGACACGGCGGGGAGGGACCCAAACCCCCATCCCTGCGCCCCCCAACTGCTCCCCCCCGCCCCCCAGGCCAGTCGACGTCCATCCCCTCGTTCAGCGTGCGGGACCTGCTGCCCCCGCGCCTCGACCGCTACTACCGCTACAACGGCTCCCTGACCACCCCCCCCTGCTTCCAGAGCGTCCTCTGGACCCTCTTCCTGCAGCCCGTCCGCCTCAGCCGGGACCAGGTAGGACCAGCTTTGGGGGGGACGCCCCCCGGGCTGCGGGGGACACCCCCCAGTGATGCCCTCCCCTCCCTGTTCCAGCTGGAGCAGCTCCAGGGAAGCCTTTACTCCACCGAGGAGGCCGAGGCGCAGCCGCAGCTCCTGGTGGACAATTTCCGGGCCCCGCAGGAGCTGAACCAGCGCCCGGTGCTCGCGTCCTTCCCCAGGGGTGAGCTGGGGGGGGGTGGGTGGGAAGGGTCCCCCCAACACCCCTCAAACGGCTCCTGGAGCCTCGACTGGGCACGAGGTCCCTGCTCTGAGCCCGCCCTTCCCTTGCAGAGCCCGAGGGATATTCCACAGGTAGGGCCAGCCCGTGGGGCTGTGCTGGGCTGGGTGGGTGTGTGTGGGGTCTCCCCAGGCCCCCCTGAGCCCCCCGTGTGGCACAGGTGAAGTCATCGCCATCGTCTTTGGCGCCGTCGCCGCCTGCGTCGGCCTCTTCCTGGCCGTGCACTTCGGGGCCAAGCGGATGCGGTGAGACCCCCCCTGCCCCTCAGAGGGACCCCCCCGGCTGCAGGGGGGCCTGGACCCCCGGGGCTGGACCCCCAGAGCCCTCGGGGGGCCCCCTGACCCGTCTCTCTCCCCTGGGCAGCGCCAGGCGGGCGCAGGCGCAGGACGTCGTGTTCAAGGCCTCCTCCCGCCGCTCCCCCGGGGACAGCGGCATCTCCCGCTGACCCCCCCCAAAGAACCCCCTGAGAGACCCCCCCAGCCCCCAAAGGACCCGGTGGGGGCTCAAATAAAGCCCCTTTTCCCCCCCATTCCAGTGCTGGTGACTCTTTGTGGGGTGGGAATGGGACCTTCAAGGGGCTTCGGGGCTGGATCCTGTCACCCTTCCCACACCCCCAGAAACCAGGACCCCCGGGTGCCCACCGGGGAGGGTGCAGAGAAAGATGGGAGGGACCCTCTCCCCTCCTCCCCAGCCACAGCACTCTTAGAAAAGGGTTTTATTCTGAATCAAAAAAATAATTTACCTCCCACTGTACCCCCGACCCCCCCGGGAGCCAAACAGGGGTGAGGGGGGCACAGCACCCCCGGCCCCAAACCCGCACCCCCAGAGCATCCCCCTGAGGGGGGCACAGCACCCCAGCCCCAAACC